ATCTCGTTTTACTCGTCCAAACATTCAAATCTAATTCCGTGCAATCCTCGCAAAAAATGATTAGTATGTTCAAAAGTATTTTCTAGTTAAAGTAAAACAACATGACTTCTAGGAACATTGTTTGTCCAAAAAAAAAACTGAAGAGACTATCAAAGTGCTGATGATACCATTGCTAGTTTATACTTTGTTTATTTAAGGGCACAATAGCTATTTTGGTCCCTCAACTATTACTTGAGGCTCAATTTCATCCCTAAACTTTCAAAATGGTTGTTTAGGTTCTCAAACTTTAGTTTTAGGCTCAATTTCATCCTACAACTATGAAGATGATCGTTTCAGTCCTCAAATTTTGTATTTCGGGCTCAATTTCATCCATAAACTATCAAAGTGCATTTGACTTTTATTTTCAACTCAATTTTGTCTATTCAAAAAGAAAACTTTATATTTTAGGCACGATTTCTCATACATAAATTATCAAAATTATAGATCTGCTATTGTTTCAATATATCCATGTATTCTTAAAGAATAAATAGTGTTCGATGCAATTGTAATTGCTCCCACAAATATCTTCTTTTTAATTTGCTCTGTGTAAGGTCTAGTTCCTACAACATAGTGTTCTGGTGGTGAAGTAAAGCCTGCAATCTGTGGGTAACACATCTCATTGCTAGCGGTGAGTGGCTTTTTCAGTCTTTAAAATCTTGTATGTTGAGAGTATTTACAGGTGAACTCCTATGGGTGGTGGTGAACATGGGTGGAGCTAAAGCAAATCCAAGAGGGTGTGTCTTGCCTTGCGGGTGCAAACATCTATGATATGATATGAGGGTGACTTTTTCTACTATCTTTTCAATTTTGCGCACCCACAATACTCAATCCATGGTGGCGACGATCAGATTGCCCTTTAATGAACACTTATTTTTCAGATGTGGTTTTGGCCAAATTGTCATTCTTTAATACTGACTATTATTTTCCATGATAAACATATGATATCACGCATTTTTCTAGTATCTTTATTCATCAAATAAATAATAATTTAGAGACTTGTTTATGGAGAAATTTGGACTTTTCTTATTGTATGTACCATTTAAAAGTGCATTCCCACGCCTTTCCTGATTAAACGAGATAGCATACGCGGCCTATAAAAAATAAGAAATAAACAGACAAGCAAAGCTCTGCCGTCCAGATTCGAGTGCGTCTGATGTCCTTGATAGCCGCAGTAGATTTACATGGACCAGGTCCGTATTTCCAAAGTTTCGATGATTTTTTTGTGGTAAAAGGCTTCCATTTTGTGGCTGTTGATTTCTTGGAAAAGAAGAAAAAAAAAACGGCAACCGATTATTCAAGTTGAATGTCACACCCACCTCATAAAAAAAACGCAGAACAATTCTATAAAGCTTACACCTGGTTCGGCGCAAATAATATAGGAAGAACTAGATAGAAGAATTAAAAAAAGGAGGTAGAAATTTTATGGAAAACTTTACTATCTTATTCCTGTTGATGATCATGTCAAGATTCCAAAAAGAGTTTTCACTGCAAATGACCTATTGGTAAACTTCAGTTTCTACTAGCAAACTAACCACCTTTTTACATGCAAAATTTATGTACACATCGAACCTTATATTCATTATTTAAATTGAAAGGATTAAAATCAAAATCGTGGCTAAAAGAACTGAATATGAAATTTAGGTTAAGCAAGGATTCAATTCCATGTTTTCTTCTCCAGGAGAGAGGGGGAAAAAGGAAGCGCAACACACCAGAGTTGTCCTCCCACCTCACCCTCCCTTGGCATATTATCTCTGTTTGGGTATTGGGTTGTTTGTCATAGCCAGTATCCTCATCTCACCCAGAACCCACCAATCACAGCCCACCTTTGTATTCTCTCCCAGATGTACCCCCTACAAAACTACCACCAAAATTTCTCACAACCCTTGCCTTGAGGCCTTGACACAAGACACGCACAAAGGTGGGCTGTCACAAGAACACACACAAGGCAACACGGTCTCAATTCTCCACAGCACACGACCACCAGCTCAGCTCTCACTAAACCCCATCCACTCCTTTATCATCGTCGCCCTCCCTCCCTCCCTCTCCATTCTCAGCTCAGCTGCGACCTCCCGCCATCCATGGCAAATGCTTCTCTGCAATCCTTTCTTCTCCCCCAACACCATTCTTTCGCCAGCACCGGCGGCAGCCATGACGGTTCCCCGTCTGCCCTGCTCAAGCCCTCCACCAACACCTTCAGGCTCCACCCCAACACCTCCCGCTCGGTGACCACAACCTCGACCACCAACTCGTCAGCTCCGACTCCAGTGGCCCCAGCAGCATCAGCAGCAGCGGAAAAAGACTCGTCACCAGCCCCCTCCCTGGACCTCCTCGGCCGCCAGCTCACGGCGGGGGACTACCGCCAGGCCGACGAGACCACCCGGGCGCTCATCATCGACCTCGCCGGCGAGTCCGCGAGGCGCCGAGGGTACGTCTTCTTCTCCGAGGTCCAGTTCATCTCCGCCGAGGACCTTCGCGCCATTGACGAGCTCTGGAAAGAGCACAGCAATGGCAAGTTCGGGTACAGCGTGCAGCGGCGGCTCTGGGAGAAATCGCAGCGCGACTTCACCCGCTTCTTCATCAGGGTCGGCTGGATGAAGAAGCTGGACACAGAGGTAGAGCAGTACAACTACAGGGCCTTCCCTGACGAGTTCATGTGGGAGATGAAGGATGACACACCTGAGGGTCACCTGCCGCTCACCAATGCCCTCAGGGGCACACAGCTCCTGGGGAACATCCTCACCCACCCGGCCTTCCAGGAGGAGAACCAGGAAGACGAAGCTGCAGCTGCAGCAGAGAGTGCCACCACTGGTCAAACCAAAGATGACAACAAAGGGAGGGAGAGACCAAAGTTCATGAGAGATTTCAAGCCTGATTATTCCTTTTGATTGAGGCTGGCAAAAAAGGGCATGGGAGTTTGTGATGCAGAGATGCTGGCATGGTGTAATTGATTTAAAAGATCATGTATCTATAGTTCTGTTTGGATTACTTTGTCTTATAAAACATGCATGAAAGATTGTGCAGTATATATTACGGATATAATTGGTTCAGGTGTTTGGTCTGCACATGATGCTTGAGACAAGGAGAAATAGGCTGCTCAGGATAGCCACAAATATTAATTATGAGGAACCATGGATGCAATGCATCTCTATCACACTCTGATGGTATCTATATAGACCAACGCACTGCAGAATCGTCTGCATGCATTTTCATTCAGCATGCAACATCCTACTAAATACCATGCAAAGATTTGCAGGTACTCCATTTCCTTCTGCGTCCATGACGCTTCTCAAAAATAGGAGCAGATCTTTGCAGGTACTCCATTTCATTTTGCATCCATGATCCTTCCCAAAAATAGGAGCAGAGTAGGATGTTCTTTTTGAGGCAACCCGCAACCAGTACATAAAAAGGTTGTTCATCATGGGAGTGATGGAGAACCATCGGTTTTCAGCTTATCACCTCCACTTGTTTCCTGTCAAGTGAACACGACTGACATGAGCAAACCTACTTTGTCCACATCTTCGCACTTGGCAATTAAATGAGCCTAAAGCATGATAGAAAGTTTTTCAGAGAAAACTACCCCTTTACTGTCTTATGAGTGTCGCATTCCTTTTCCCTTCTCAAGCGCATGGACAGAGCCTTCGAGTATGCTGATGCGAACCATCACATGTGAGCTGCTCATCCATCTGCATGTATAAACATGCTCCTGGATTCTGAAATAGAAACCAGAAGAAAGTCAGTCAGTTCCACTTCCACATTTTAACTGACCATTTTATGTTTATTAGCAAAACATCAAAGTAGAAAGCACAAACATATAACTGAAAAAAATCTAGTCAATAGGCACTACCAGCATCCCTCGTGTAGCATTGAGAGCTTAACTTCGGCAATTCCTAATGTTGCTAAATCAGGCATGCATCGATACCATAAGCAACAAATACACTTTTCATTATTTAAATTAAAATAGAGGCATAAAAGTTAAATTCATGAATCTAATTTTGCACATATTCTGAGTCTTTGATTGCGGGAAAAAACAACAAATGACAACAAAACGTAAGATTCCTTTTGGAAGGTATCTAACAAAAAGATAAAGAACACAGTTTAGGTGGCTTTAAGGACTGGTGTTGCTGCTATAATTTTTTTTCTCCAAAAGTAGCCTGATAAATTTCTCCTCAATCCACCAAATCCTCTCATTTATGACCACCCACTGTCATGTGCGTGAAGTTCTAGATCTTGCATCCAAATCCCATTTGGTATGACACCAACTAGATGTTTGTGGTGCTGTCTCAACTTTGTTAGTGCCAAAGCAGAGACACGATAATATCTGAGATAATAAGCTTGATCATTTAAGTATGTTAAAATCAAAGCTGAAGTTGAGTAGATGTATCCAATTGATACAGAGAAAAACATCGGTTTGATGGGATCATTGGTATGACCAGACAAAGGCCGTGTTTGTTTCGGATTAAAATCTGATTCTCGGTTGGCCTGCTGCAGGGTATTTGGCGGATGGTGGGCAAAATCACGCGGTGGGTGAACAGAGCACAGTTCATTTTCTGCAGTGGACAAACCGGAGCTCGGCAACCGCGGCTGTGTAAATGCAGCTCAATTCTCAGGAGAGTGGAAACAAACACACCCAAAGTAGCTATTGTGGCTTGGATAGCAGGGCAAACAACGAATTTTGTCAGCCCCCAAAAAGTATATGTAATGGTACTCTTCAGATGGCTAGGTCACAAGGATCACCTTGTGAAGATAAATAGATTGGAAGCCAAGTTATCTCTTTAATTAAGAATATGTCTGTTGCAAGTTAGGAAGGTAGGATCATATCTAAAAGATCCCATCAATAGTTGACCTAAGGGCCAAGTTATCTCTATATATATAAAATCAAGGGGGTATATCATGGCTCAAGTTCATTAAGGAGAAGCGAAGGGCTAGCCCCTTCTTTTTTTGAAAGAAAAGGGCTAGCCCCTTCAGCTCTCAGCTCTCCAGATCCCCTGTGCTGCCTCGTAAATTCCTAGCCATAAGCCCATAACACTTTGCTGGTTAAATGGCTGACTATTTTCAGAAATTGGAGCAAGCACAGCACAGTGAATGTCAGTTTGAAGTAGGTGATAAACAGCATAATCAGAAGAGTACACAAGATATCCTATCCAATATGACCTGAGTATGAAAACATCCATTTTTTTCTTCTTAATATAATGAAGCGCAGTTCTCCTGCGTTTTCGAGAAAATGAAAGCATCCATTTTCAGCCTTGTTTGGATACCCTCGTATCTACCTCAATCCACATGGGTTGAGATGGATTGGAGTGGAATTTAAACTAACTTACACTCCAATCCGCCTCAACACATGCGGATTGAAGATTTGAAGTGAATACACAAGTATCAAAACAAGCCTTTCTAGATATAAAACCTATAACAGTCTGCTTGTTGTGAAACAGTTAAATATGAAAATGAGATAGACAATAGTCCGAGATTGATTTTTTTTTTCAAAAAGAAAAAGAAAAATACCATTCATACCAAGCTGATTGGAGCTTCATCAACAACTTCGGCGGGTTGATCTGGTCCAAGGCTGGGAAAGCAGCCACTCTTGCATCTCATATATTTCTGCAAACTGGTTTGAATAATTCAGCTCAAGTGAGTGTTATCCTGCACGTATGGATGAACAGAAAAACACATACAGAGAAACACAAACATTGCTCCAGTTTATATTATCCAATCTCAAGAAAGTTTCCTTGGGAATCGGGATGATGATCTAACATCGACGAATTTATTGGCCATCAACTGAGAATGTGATGATGGATGTATTTTCACATCAAGAGCAAAATCTAGAACTAACAAGCTCCCAAGCTAACATGAACACTACTAAACATGAACAAATACTTCCTATCATGAAAGACCTACTAACAAAATGATCAAGGGTACATAGGATCCAGACGAGGTCCACGTCCACAACAAATTTTCCCAACAATTTATAGCAACAATATTACTGACAGTGCTAATGATGTCATGCAGGCTTAATAGAAGTTATATCTGCTTTACATTAGAGCAAGGTGTACCCTTCAATTTTCAATGTGGGTCTTATAAATTATAATGCTAGCAACTATGGAATAATTCACACAGATTGTACAAAAAACAGGCTAACCATACCAACACAACGGTGATTTCTTAGCATTCATCACTTTGTGAGCTACAGGCACAAGAGGCTCGTCTCTTCCCAGCAATTTTTTGAGTGGGGGATAAAATTTTCCTCACCTATTCTTCATTTAAACAAGTAACTGATAATAGTTGATGACTTGATGATATCAAACTTGGCTGGCACTGCTTATCTATACATTTCCAATAGGGCTGGTTATGACATCACATTCAAATTGGAGGACAACTGGAAATGAAAGTTAGTTGTTGTTTCTCTAGGATAGCAAAACCTCACAACTGATGTGCCAAGATCCGAATTGGATCCTAATGTGCTTGTGCCAAGGTCAAATTCAGATGGCATCACCTATGGGACAGTATCTTGTGTAATTCTCCCGTCTTCCCCTATCCTTTCAGGTATAAAGCTTACGTGGACCCTAGTCAAAATTCATATTCAATAATAAATATACACCCAACCTAACTGTTGTCAGGGCAGAGCTAGACTCAGCACACCCTCACCTCCCCATTTTGCTTCAGATTCCCAATTCAGTCTATATGGGATGTTCCTTTTCCAGAGACCTAGACATCTGTCATACTCTCACCCAATAGCATAACCCAAACCTAGGACAAGTAACATATGCACCCTCAGCAGAACTTCCATGTACAAGGGCATAAAAAATTTAGGATGTCAATGTAAATTGTGTTGGTGCTGACAGATTGATAGCAGTTGAAAATTGAAAAAATACATGTAAATAGCAAAAGACGTTTATCAAGTTTGTATGTAACAGCCTGGAATGTTTCAGACTTCACTATAATACTGATGGTCCCGTCCAGATACAGTCTACTTGGCTATTCAATTGATAAGTTATGCAATCAAAATGGAACTTGCTACATGGCTAGTCGGCTAAACAGAGTTGCTATAGTGTGGCATGTCATTTGTAATTTGAGGATAATTGATTGAACTGCAACGATGGATGTAATTTGAAGATACACAACTGGACTCTTACATCTCGCATTTGTTCAGCACAGAGAGCCTGCTTGGAACACATGACTGTCCTCTTACTTTGCAAACCAAGCTGCAGGATTCCCCGGGCCTAAATTCCATTTGAGATTTCATAAAGCAGTTCCCAGGTGCAGATTCACTTTAGAGAAATAAGGTGCTTAAAGTGGAAAGCCTTACCTTCCTACTACAACGTTAATGCCCAACAACTTTGATACAGAACTAGATTCAGTTGATCCTGGAGAATGTTTACATTCCATGATCATTTCCAACCATATAATTCAAAAAACAATGCATCATAAGCACTAGGAATAGACAGAAGGTAGAGCTCCTGCCAGACTTTCTGTCCAGATTTAAGTCAAGATAATAGGCCAATATACTTTGGCTATCAACAATAAGTCAATAGATGAAATTACATCGGGTGTCCCAGCCATGATTCCAGACCATAGCATATGTTACATATTTCTAGTAATTCTAATGCTGCTAGCAGTGAATATTTGAGAACATGGTAATTCCAGTCTACAAGTAATGACCTGAGAACATGTTACAAATGATAAGTTGTAATATAGCCAAGAAATATAGTTCATAGTTTGTCATACCTGATGAATTTTGCTGCACTGAAAAACAGTGATAGAAGTCACTGGCATAGGCATTTTCATGAACCTGGTAAATCGAAAGAACTTAGTTTGAACTTCTTTGGACAAGCAATTGTTGTAACAAACATTAAAAGACACGAAACTGAAAAAACTACTTGTTTTAGTTTAAACAAAAAAAATATGCCGTAAAGTAAAAGAATTATTGTACTGGGCACTTAGGGGGGAGTGGGGAGGCAGTACCACACTTGCAGAGCTATGGCGGCATCTTCCCATGCAGAAATCGAAAACATTTGTGTATGTTCCTGGAGAAAATTAACGGTAAACTTCATTTGCCATATTCCAAATTCACCAATTAGCAATTGATAACTTCAAGCATCTTACCAGCAGTAACTGGCTTAGCTACCTTCAGCTTCAGCACATCTTCTTTCTTGATCTGTCAAAAAGGTTGAGTAAAATATTTATGAAACAATTCATTTTTGTTTTCCAGACCTGGTACTACTTATTAGGATTTACCTTAGAAGGATTCAAACAGCAAGAAACACAATATTCATATGAATTGCAGCACTGTAAATCAACTTTGCAGCCCCTGGATTATGTCATGAAGACTTATGTCAGGCTTTGCAGGGTAACCAGTTTTGATGGAGTGTTACATATAAACATAATATGGTAAAATGAAAATCGGAAACTCACTGGCAGGAAAAGCGATCCCCTGTTGTTGGGCAGCAGTGAGACCATGGATTGATTGAAAGTGCAGAACATACATAACCTGCAAAGGGAAGTGTTTTATCAGAGAGAAGGTTGTCAGATAGTGCAGCATTTATAGGAAAAAATATCTAAGCATGCAAGACAAAGGTGCAGGAGTATTGCCATTATCATCAGAGATCAGATGGCGCCCCTGAACAGTGCTTCTGCACACAATTGGTTCAATAAAGCCAATGTCCTTCCTGCACAATATTTGAAGTTCTTTCCTTAGCTTTACTGAAATATAAACTGTAAAATTGCTCTCATATTCAGAATGACAAGAATATCCCGATACTAGATTGAAGCAATTCACTGATACGCATGCTGCCTTATGCCATGAAAAAATTGTCCACTTGTAGCTTGTAGCTAGCTAACTGCTCTCCACCTTTACACTGAAACATTTGTCTTCGTCCCTTCCCTTTCATTTACCTCTCTTTCTTCTTTACTTGCCTAATCCACACTCCTTCCTTCCACAATTCCATCCCACATAAGCTTCCTCGTCCTTCCCTCATCTAATCCTACATTCCTTCTGCTAGCGATTTGTGACAATGAACTCAAATCAAACAGACCAACAATAAAGGACAAAGCTGAACATTGTCAAAGGTTATGGGGCTATTTTCATGATAATCAAAGAAGGTAAATGCCAATAATATTTCACAATGTATCAGCCTTTTCCCAATCAGTGGCACAATGTACTGAAACGAATTTGAATCGTCAAAATTAGCTTGGCATTCACCTTCCCCCACCTCACAGTATACTACATCAATACTAGAATCAAGCATGGGGTCCCAGCCCGTGAACAAGTGAATCCTGACTGGTGCAACTACTCGCCTTTATCTACAAGGAACTTTCAACTGCTGAACATCGAGTGCGTGCGACGAGCACGGGCAAAGGATTCGGGGCCCTGGCAACGGCAGGAAGGAGTGTGCGGATCTCACCGGATACCGGAGATGGGGGTAGGGAAGCAGGCGCAGGCCGCGACGGCGACGGCGGCGGCGAGGCGGAGGATCCGGCCGAGGGGAGGGCGCGGACTGGCCATCCCGGCAGCGGAATCGACGACGCAGAAGCGAATTGGGCCCCTTTTTCTTTTTGAACAAAACTTTCTCAACCGCTCTGCTTGCTTGCCATTGCCACGGTGGCAGAGCCGCCGTTTCGCCGTTGAACTAGGTGCTGTTTGGTTGTTCTATTTTGGGCCGGTACCTGTTTATAGTGCAATCCGGTCCCATTGGACTTTTGTTTGGTTCGAGACCATGGCAGTAAACGATCATGGCGGTAACGGGTACCAGATCATACAATCCGATTACCCCAGCTCAAGTAATAATAAAAAAAAATCCTGGTAGCCGATCCCATCCCCGAGCAGCATCGCCTCCTCCTTCCCACGGGTACGACCAAAGTTTCTCCTCATTTTTTTTATGCCCTCTCCTAACTAACACAACCCTTCTCTGGTATATTATGACATAATATACAAGGTTTTTTTGAAGTAACATAGGCCCTATTTGAATGCACAAGCTAAACTTTAGCTATGATGAATCTAAACATGCCATAGATAAACCTAGCTAAATTTTAGTTGAAGGCCAAAATATATATAATCCCTTTAGCTGTTTCAACCTAGCTAAGGGTATATTTGGATCCACCAGCTAAACTTTAGCTAGCTAAATTTAGCTAATAGGGATCCAAACGGCTAGCTAAAAGACCACCTAAAGTTTAGCTAAGTTTAGCTATTTCAACCCAGCTAAAGCCAGCTAAAATTTAGTTGAGTCTATTAGCCGGAGGATCCAAATACCCCAGCTAAAGTTTAGCTGAAAGAATTTTTAGCTGGCTAAAGTTTTACTTTGAAATTTTAGCTAGCTATATAAACTTTAGTTGGGTGGATCTAAACAGGCCCTAAAACCAGTTAAATGGCTTCAATGACCAAACTACTCCTAACTAAAGTTTAGCTAGAGGATCCAAACATCCTCGCTAAAATTTAGTTAGCTAAACAATGGAATTAATGAGGGGTAGTATGATCAAGCTTTTCAATTAGCTAGAGAATACAAACACTCCCGGCTAAAGTTTAGCCAGCTATCTTTAGCTAGCTAAATTTTAGCTATAGCAATTAGCTAGCTAAATTCTAGTTGGTGGATTCGAACAGGGCCATAGATAGGTAGGAATCTTAATTTAGCCCTTTTTGGTTTGGGTCTCCTAAACTTTAGTTACCTAAATTTAGTTCCTTTTAGTTACTTTGGAGCCAAACACTATGACTAAATGAGACTAAATGATCTTTTGTCCTCTCTAGTCAATTTAGAGTGACTAAAGATGACTAAACCGTTTAGGAGGGACTAAAGTTTAAAGGGCAGAGACCCCTCCGATTCTTAATAGGTATCATAATTCAAATAGCGTTCTTTTTTTTTGTGTCCACTTTGGTTTCTATTTCTTTTTTTTTCTTTCTCCGTTTCTGTCCAAGTCCTCCAAGGCTCCAATTCATGTTTTCCATTTTTTTTCTTATCAACAAATCATGCACGGACAAAGAAAAAAACAAAGCGTGAGGAAGACAGGAAAACGTGGACAATAAAAAATAGAACGACAAAAGAAAACGAATCATGCACAGACAATAAAATAGATGGAATGAAAAAAAAGGAAAACAAATCACGGATGGACAATGAAAAAATAGATCCACAGAAGGAAAATGAATCACTGACAGAAAAAATCAAGATAAAGAAAATCATGAATGGAGAGAAAAAAGGAACTAAAATAAAAAAAAACTCTTTGTGGTTTAATATTAGGATAGGATAAGATAACAAGAGAAAAAAATTAGAGATGATAATTGGTGTAATACATACTCCGATCCGTACCTGAACTGACGACGTGCTCTTAAGAGTTTAACTAAGTTCATGTCCCCGTTGCAATGGGAGATAAAATTTTCAATTCCAACATGCATGAGTGTTCATTCAACATGGACCAAGGAAAACCAATGACATGACAAAAAATGTTCACCAAGAGTTCTAGCATCATCAGTATATTGTGGTCTAATTTTTTATGAACTCCATTTGTTTTCAAGCAAACAACATTGCAATTTACATTTTAGGATAGAAGATACCCAACATTAAAAGCTTACATTGATATCATATAAAATTGGAGGTTCCACCAAATTATAAAGCATTCAAACTTGGCAACAAATACGTAGTGTCTTTGAAAAAAAAATGCACAAGTACACATATGACATTCCACTACCAAAAGGCATACATATGTAACCTAGGTAAATATTTGTACCGATGAAGACACGTCCTAGATCGCCAGAAACCAGCAGGCTCTGTAGGCGACGTTCCGCGCAGAGAGGCTTCACTGGAAATTATTATGGAAATAAATAACGATGAGAACACCAGCGCCGAACCCGGGATTCGAACGCTGGTGGACAGCGTGCTCACCTGCACTGCGTACCAACCGAGCCAGAGCTCGTTCTCCGGACTAACTTTCTTGAACAATACGAGGAACAAGCAAACGAGATTGCAAATTACTCTTACGGAAGGAAATGTATCACGCGGGTATAAATAACAGAGTATGTCTATCCAACGACTACGTGTTTTATGCAGTTTCAACACATGAATTTTTTTATATCATATGATTAAGATCCAACAGCCTCCACCCTTCTTCTACCTCCAGCCTCCACAGATCACACATCACAGATCACATATTACATATCATAATTTTTTTTCTATGGAAGGAAAAAAGACAAAGTTAGTGACACGTCCCCTTCCTGCAGTTAAGCCTACCTGAACCTGAACTCCCTGCAGACCTTGGTGACACGCCATGTAGTCGGGCAACGGCCATGCTACGGATGCCGGCTTGCTGAGCTTCGGGACTCAGGAGTCCTCAGCCTGTTCGCTTGCTCGTAAACGATCGTAAATTTCCAGCCGAGAACAGTGTTTTTCTCTCACACCAAACCAGCCAGCAGTAAATAATCCACGATACGATACGGCCTCCCGAACATGCTGCTGGCCATGTGGTGCAAGCAGAAGTCCGTGGCGAGCTGCCAGTGCCAGAGGAGAAGACTCTCGTCGAATGGCCTGCTCAGGCTTCAGCCAAGGGCGGCCGAGAGTCCACTGGCCACGGCTATCGTTGAAGACAAAAAAAAAATTCATATGTTTTTTTTTCTAAAACACACGTGTGTTGTATAGTATTTCTGAAATAATATGGCACCCATGATGCAACTGTGTTTGGTACGATCAGGACTCTAAAATCGTGAAATTCATGACGGATACGGCAGCAATTCGTTGGTACACCTGAGTACTATGATTTGATCCGTCTGGAGATTCGGTACACGTACGTCATCCAAACTCAACTTGATGGAGGCATTTGTTCGATGGGTTTTTTTATCAATCAATTTATTAAAATTCTACATGTATATACACGTGTACTTGTATTGTGTGTGTGCTGGCTGTGCAAAAAAAAAACAAGAAATATTTGGAAGGACATGTTTGCTCGTTCAGGTACATGCATGGGGAAGAAGCAAGAGCCACTATGGCTAAGGTGGCCGGCCTGTACAGAGCATCCGTGCCGCCGTGCGCCGGTGCGCGTATGTCTACATGGACTCTGCTAGCTGGACCCACAAGATGGTCGGCACGGTGCGTCGTGGCTCGACGCGGCCCGGAACATTCTAGAGGCCCTCTAGTATATACGGCCGGCAGGTACATTAATTAGCAGGCAAATATATGTTTATCGGTTGCAAACTCTTGTAGCAAAGCATGCGTACGTAGTTTGGGTTTGCTTTACGCCTCCCAACGCAGACCGGGCATAATAGTTTCTACCCCTATTTGTTACTGCCGAATGCTGATGACGTGGAAGACAATTCACGGAAGAAAGAGAAGGAAACCGTTTCTTATCTAAGAAACGACGTCTACGCGCGATACGAGAGAAGCCGCAGGACGTGCGCCACGCCGGAGATGGCGTCGTCGGTGGAGAACGCGCCGAGCCCAGCCGAGGCCACGAGGAGGTCCCCGCCGCCCGCGGGCGGCGCCGTCGGGCGGCCAGCGGAGTTTGCGCGCGGCCTGCCGACGCCGCCGCTGCCGAGCTCGCGCATGACGCCGGCGCTCCAGAAGTCCACCTCCGGCCCGTAGTTTCGCTTCAGCACCTCCGGCGCCATGTAGTACACACTCCCCACCACCTCCGTGAACTGCAACCATGGATGCCTCGATCGATTGGAAGCAGATGTGCATTATTCAAACGTTCAAGCAAGCAAGCGCACTATTCAGATCGATTGGAAGCACCTCAGGAAGCAAGCAAGCAGACGTGCATTATTCAGACCGATTGGAGTGGCAGAGCCACACAACGTCGACGATGGTGCCGAAGACGCCCGCGCGGCGCGCTCGGAGTAGTGCCCGCGCGCGACGATGCGGTCGAACAAGTCGCTGGAGTAGGCGGTGGTGCCGTTCCGCCGCTCGTTGATGCAGGTCGTGAAATCGAGGATCGAGCCTGGCATTTGGGTGCACGCCACGAGCATGGTGGCCTCCTGCAGCAGCGCTGCCTCGCCAACGGGAAGGATCGCAAGCGCTGGGTTGCCGGCGCAAGCCGCTAGTACGGCGGCCTCCTGCAGCAGCTGTGAGCGGACACCAGGAGGAAAAAGTTGCATCGTAGAACATGGTTTCTTGTTACAGTTACAGTTTCCTAAGGTAAAAATACCTAGTAGTGGTTTTTGCACTGTGAGTGTCCTGATGTAACGGAACTCCATCTCGCTGGGTCCACGTCTAAGGGATTGCATGCATGTGAGGAGAGCCAATCGAGTTTAATTTTGGATGGATACAAATCAGCACGTACACAACCAGCGTCCAGCGGCGGCGAGCGTGTGTATGCGTGCTCGTGAGTTAACGCCGGCCCACACCAAGTACAGAGAGAGGTCCACCTGACGCAAAGCGGGGCACGCAACCTCCCCTCTCTTCTCGAGCGCGCGCGATCCAGATCCACTCGGCCCCCTCCCTCCCGTCTCCGGCGAGCTCGCTGCAGCGGGCAGGGAGTGCCCCCCTCCTGTACTTAGTACTTAGTAGCTAGTAGCTAAGTAGCTGTAGA